CCATCATTCCCATGAATTCATCTGAAACTGCGTAATGTTTAGAAAACCAGAAAATAAGTTGCATTTCCTATTTCTCCAGAGTAATTTCTGGGGCCAGATACCCTTCCCAGAGCAGCAAGAGGAAGATAATACCTGAACGCAGAATTCTCTTGGGAAAAAAAAGAAAAAAAAAAAAAAGAAAAAAAGAAAAAAAGAAATGATCCTTTTGGGGTTAAAAAACCATGATTAGTTTACTCTGTTCCACTTCTCTACCCTGCTGTATGCAGCAGGTGAAGGTGAGCATCTCTGCCACACTAGGTTGCTCATTAACTAGTTCTCAGCATCTTTCTGAGAAGATGCAGAGTCCTGTTGAGACTGAACATAATTACATTTTTAAAAGAGGGAAACTGGAGCAATATTAAAATAAATGCTTGCTTTAAGCTATCTATCTTCAACTCATCCTTCTTATGACTTCAAGTAGACAGGCTATTCTCAGTCTATTTGCCCAGAAAGCATGAAGGAGATATAGGTCTAGAAAGCAGATCCTTTTTCTTACAGTCTCCTGCTTGTTTATTCAGGACAAGTGCCACTCCATCTCTTATTAAGAATTCCTTATTGGGATAAGGTTGCTACTGATTTCTAAACCTATGTCCTCCAGATACCTATGCATGCTCTGAGGCACACAGAGGGTGCAAAAACCCCTAATGCTGGTTATTAAACCCTCTTCCAGAGCTCACTGATCTAGTTTAGGAACCATATCTCACAATATGATCTCATCCCTAGCCAGATTTTTCCTGCTGGATGACACTTGAAGCATTTACTGGCTCGCCTGTGCAAGGTAAAGCATGCCAAAGTAGTCATGCCAGTAACAACTCAGACAGAATGCAAAATTTCAAAAATGCCTGCCATAGCTATAGATTATTCCAGCCCCGTCGCTTAGATGAGATGCAACATTACAAAAACTTTTGATAGAGCTGAGTTCACACTGGGGCCGTTGCTGTTACTGTAGCTACTTGAATTTTAATCCTACAGTTCAAATGGTAAAAAAAAATTAATCCTGCCTTGTCCTGTCACCTGAGAAGACGAGCAATTTTTACCCCTCTTCATAATATCATTTCCCTCCGTTTAGAAGTATGACGAGAAGAAGCTCCAGATCTTCCATCAGACGTGGGTCTCTTTGATGATGCCCTTTGGCTCCTGCTCTTCTGTGTTAATTGAAGCTGAGTACAGTAGGAAACCTGGCCTCACAACTTCTAGAAACGCTATGTATTTACCTAGTACTACTGTAACCTGAGACACATCTTAATTTTTGATGCCACTAATCACATCTTCCATATGGAGGGACATGCTCCCATGGTGAAACCATGTGATTTTCAGATAGAACACCAGAGAGGAACACCAGGGAAGTGTAAGGATTTTCTTCCTTTATAACGCTCACTGCACAACGTATCTTTGAAAGAAACACTGACCTGCGTCCCTCCTTGTTAATGAAGCTCATTACAAAATGCACACTTCCACCTCACAGAACTGTTCTGAGGACTCGAGCTTGCAGAGCCCTTTTGAGGATGAAAAGCACATATATAAGTACTATACAAGTACTGAGCTCTAAGCTCGGGCATGTGGACAAGCTGTGCACATTCAAAGTAAAAACCTTCCTAATGACATCCATCTGCATCTTGAATACAAGTGAAAAATTGTAAGACAGCCAGTGATCAAGGCCTTCTCATGCAGCTCACCCTACTGTTTGGCCGCTGGCCAGCCCAGAGAGCCCATGGAGGAAAATGGCTCTGCAGGAAGGCATGCGCGCGTTGAACAGAGGATAGCTTTTCTGAAGGGTGAGAAAAATGAGCCTAACACCCCCAGCTGCCAAAGCCTTCTCTGGTACATGGAGGAATGAAGCAAGATAGAAGGGGAGGCAGAAACTGCAGCAGGCAGTAGCCTGCTACTCTCATCGAAGCCTGTATGGCCTAAAAGCTGAAATAAAAAACATTTTTGCATCAGGATCAGGTCTGCTTTGCATTGAGGATGTCTCTGTGGAGAGGCTGGGAGAAACCAGGCAGGAATTTCCTGGGAGCTGCAGCACCTAAGCCAACCAGGGAGGCATACCAGCCTTTGGTGTTAATATTGCCACGATTGAACAAATAACTTGAAAATGGCTATCATATATTTAGATAATTCAATCTAGAAAGCTTTCTAATCTGTCATTAAAATTTTACACACAAGAGATTTCCCCTCTAATAAATCATAATTTACATTTAGATAGTACCTCTCATTCTAATAGCTTGTCTTTATTGAGAGGCCGATTCCAGTCATGAATCACACGTTATCTTTCATTCAAATGCCTGCCATAGCCAAAAAGCCCTGAATTAAATATTTAAGCAGCTTTTAATTCACATTATCTTGTACCAGATCAATTCAGCACAACTCATCAACTAACACAATCAATAATTAATGTGCTTGCAGTTTGTCTGCACCAGGCTTCTGTCAGTCCTCCTGCCTCCTCCTACAGCTTGCTGGGAGAGCCCATGGAGAGCAGCCAGCTTGGCCACGGCTCACCAGAGCATGCTTCATAGAAGAGCAGAGCCCACTAGGACAATGACTTCCCTGAGATCTCCAGGGTCTTTTTTTAAACAAAGCTCCGCCTTCTCCTAATAACTAATTAACATATTCATTGTCTGTATTGCCCTCAGGCCTGTCTCCACCTCAGCAGCACATCCTCCAGGGAGGCTGTGTGGCCCAAGGCAGTCCTGACACTTCCCATGCTGCTGCTCCAAAACTGAGTGCCCTTGTGCAGTCTTTATAATGGAATTTGCATTCTTTTCACTTCTAGAAATTTTGAAATCACATGGTATAGTCCACCAAACGTGAAGTACTCGAGTTTTCCTGTGTTACATCTTTCCATCACTGATCAGTTTTTATATACAAAATACGTCAGTTAGAAGAGAGGATTTTAGTCTCCTGAATACAAACGTCATTGACTGCAAAAGAAGTTCATCGTTAAGGCACGTAAGAAAAATAAAAGCTCTCTTTTTCTTTGGTAAGCAATACCAGCACACCTACCAACGTGCAGCATCTCATGAGGAGGTCCAACACCTCTTCATCCAGTGACATCATAAATGGCTACAAGAATCCACAGAGGTTTTTAAGAAAAGAGCAGAGGTCACACTGAGGGATGTGGTTTATTGCTAGGGTGGTGATAGGTTGATGGTTAGACTAGATGATCTTGGTGGTCTTTTCAACTATAATGATTCTAATCCTGTAAAGCTGGATACAGGATGAAATCACAGTCCTGGGACCCATCAGCACAGATGCTGGCAGGAGGCTGCACACAGCAAAGCCGTGGACTCATTGGGTGGAGGTTTTGTTGTGCTCCCACCCTTGCATGACAGAACATGAAGCCATCCAGCTGCAGGGCAGATGCAGGGAGGAGAAAGAGGTGTGAGGAAAGGGAGCAGGCTGCAAAAATGAGAGAGCAGCCAAACCAGACTGGGAGGAGCAGCTGGAGAATCAGGAGGAGGAGCCAGGAGCAAAATGTGGTTGGGCAAGTAAACCCGTGGTGATTCAGAGATCAGTGTCCACCAGCTTACTCAGAACATCAGAATTCACCATAATCATGCACAGACAAGCAGCCCCAGCCACGATCCCTGATACTCTCCATTGCCCTGTAGGGAAGGCTGGCACACAAATCAGAGCTGTCATGTACGAAGGTTGCTCTGAAAGTGACGCCTCCTATTTACATTGTCACGGAAATGACAACAGCTATGAAAAGTACAAGAACAGTATTTGACAGAGCAAATTCTCAGCTACAAAACACTATTTTTCAACACAGTAACCACCATTGGTCGTGCATCTTTTTCATCCGTGAACAGGAGGCTGCATGCTGTGCTCATAAAAATAGGCACCAATGGAGGTGACTCACAGTCACTGTCGCCAATTCTGGGGTGCACCACTCACCCCTCACCGTGCTCACAGCCACTGTTTGGTCTCCAGAAACGTTCAGCAAGCATCAGCGAATGCCAATGGGTGCCATTTTTTCCTACATGGAGGATTTCAATGATACACCTTTGCTCCATAAGCAATTCCATGTCAGACGCCATTTTGTCAGACTGCTCCTCTGCTGCCATCTGTCACACAGCAACAAAATAGAGCAGGATATGGGTGGGAAGGTTCAACCTGTACTGCTATAACACCAACATCTGCCTCTGACATCTCAGGCCAACATAATAAAGCAAGTGGTGTTACTTTCAAAGCAGCCCTCATATGTTCCACTAGAATATTTAAGAACTTTTTGTTATCCTTGATTATTCATTAATTAGAAGTTTTATCAGCTCAGACATGGTTGGAAACATATTGGAAATCTCTGCTGAGTCGTTTAGATATTACACGTATTGCTGTGGCACTGAAGGTTTGTTTTACTCTGCAGGAGTCCTTTGGGATCACACATACAGGAATGGCTAGTGCCCTAAGGTGCTGACAAATGAAAGAAAAAGAGGAGACAGCAGATGGAATCAGCAGCTGGAGTACCTGCAGAAAATAAGGCAGCTCTGACAGGCTCGCCAGCAAGGCTTTTGTCTGGGAGTCTTATTCTGTATCTTCTGCCATCACAAAAAATAAAAATTAAAAAAAAAATACCGAGTGAATCAGAGAAGAGACTTTTCTCTAGTGCTGAAAGACCAGTAATGCCCTCATGAGACCACTTCCATCGAGTGGAACATCCTGAAGATTCACAAGCTGTGTTACCATCATTTCACAGACAATTCCTAGAAATCCCTAAAAACTGGGATCTTTACAACACTTGTTTCTTAATGATACACCATTATACTTGTCAACAAGCAGTTTACAGTAGATTTACTACACCCAAAAAGACAGAGGCATCCTCTCTTGAGGTCAACTATCCAAGCACACACATGCAGGAATCATCTCCAGGAGCAGCACCAGTGGTCCCTATAGAACCCAGGGGACAATACATCACAATGTGCCCATGCACAAAGGCTGCTGGCACAGTGATCAGTGCAGCAGCCATGGTGCAGCAGAGCTGTGGTGCTGCCCAGGCACGGACAGCCTGCAGCAAGGCCCCGCTCCCTCGCAGGGCCAGCAGGAGCCAAGCACTGGCAGAGGGCAGGGTGGTGTTCTCAGGTAGGCAGCAATGCTGGGGGTCTCGGGGCATGCAGCTCCAGCAGGGACAGGGCAATGCTGGTATAAGTGAGAATAAGGTAGATGAAATAAGGGCAAGAGAGATGAAAGTGCCAAAAAAAGAACGTCTGTTACCTGGCACCGCAGTTTTTATTTCATCTCATGGATTGCCATATGCCTAGAGACTCACAGAGGGAAAACCCCCTCCTTTTGCTGCTTACATTTCCCATACCAAGTAAGTATGGAAGAGTTTTTCAACCATATCGTGCATGAGACATGCATGCATGCACAGTCAGAGATAGTGATGTGAACTGGAGACTTTTTCCATTTGGAGCTTTTGTGCTCCACTCAGCAGTTCTCTTCCATCACTTAAGAAGTGTGCCCTGCACCTGCATGTTGATGAAAAACTCACAGCATTGGAGGAGGGAGCATGGATCACTTGTGGGGGGCTGAATGAGAACCTCCTGCTGACAGCAAGCCAGGATTCCCCACTGGTCCTGGTTAGTGGCACTTACAAGTTGTCTTCCTGCTACAGCCCCATTTGAATTTCAAATGCACCAGTACAAAAGAGCAGGCTCAAGAATCAAAAGGGTTGGACTGAAAAAAAAGCACCTTTAGGAACCGAATCTGAATTTATCTTGGAGTCTGCATTTCAATTAAAGCAGTTGTCTGCATATCAATCCACACTAACAATGTTTTTTGAGTAATACAAATTTAGAGACAATGAATTTCATTGCATTTGTATCTGGCAATAACTGTAACTGTACGAATGACTTCAATATTCTCCTTCTTCGTTAAGTGCTGGAATACCACAAAGAATGACAAAGATGACATACACTGCATTAAAACACAGTCCCTACGTTTCAACTTCACTAAATAAAAGTCTATACTTTAGTTACACACTGCTGTAGCTTCTGCTATTGAGTTATAAGTCACAGGAATATACATGCTGCAGTTTAGGGTCAGATTAAGAACATATATAATCTAATATCCTTTCCAAAATTGCTATGAAATCTCACTCACAATTTTTGCTTTACAGCCTCTTTGCAGCGAAAGCTGACTCGATTTAGCTACGGACCATGAAAAAGATTTCCCTTTGATGTTTTAAGTATGTTCCTAGCAATTCAATTCTAGTTTTTGCTCTATGAAATATTGTGATTGTTCCTTGTTCACCTTTTTCTGAATGAATGCTATTTAATAGCCCTGCTGGTCATTTCTGAGAGTAGGAGAGAATAAAACGTATTCAAGCTTCCTGAAAAAGCAGAGTCAAAACCACTTGCCCTGATTCCAGCTTACCATTAATTTTCAGCTGGTGAGGGTAATGCACTGGCACAGGTGGCTACGTACACCCACACCAACCACTCTCAGAACATTTTCTCATTTTAACAGATCCTTACATGAAAAAACAGAGCAGCACTTCATACTCAGGTATTCTATCAAAGAGATATTCTATTTTTTTTTAAATCTAATATAGTGAAGTTAATGGTAAAATTGTTGTTACTCCCAGCGGATAGGGAGCGTTCACTCTTAGGAGTGTTGTTTCTCAGGAAAAAATGCTTTCCCCAGAAAACTCATCATGGAAAGTGCTTTGGACTCTTCTTGCTGACTGCCCTTAATTGAACAACACTGCAGCAGCATCGTGTGACAGCAGCATCGCTCCTGGGGTGGATCTCTGCCAGGCAATCCTGAGGCAGGACTAACAGCCAAGGTTATTTTTAAAGCACCAGAAGTAACTTAATCGTACCAACATAATCACCAACCAAGAATGCACAGCTTGCTATTAGTGACACTGATATCTTGTAAAATGAAAAGTAAGCTGCACCTGATTATTTCTGATGTTCTCTTGCTTGTAATGGAACAAGCACGTTATTGCAAATTCACAAGTTCGCAGATTGGTTCAAAATTAACATATTACTCATCCACATTATAGGACTTGTAAGTCCTCTGAGAAGCAAGCAGTCTCCTGTGTCTAATATTCCAGATAGGACTATGATTACTGTTTTACTGCCAGTGGTTTAAAGATCAAATTATTAACTTTTAAGAAATTACCTTAACTCCTTAAAGATAAAAGTCGAATTTATTTCTGCAATAGCGTCCATGAATTTCTTTCTTCTGATTTCAACAAGATACATGACTCTTTTGTCATGATCTAGTCTTTACAGAAGTAATACTCTCACATAGCTCCATACATACATCCTAGAATTTCTATTGGTTCAAGTCTTGTCTCTGGACCCATTCAGCAAGCCAAAGGTCAGAGGGGTTGTCATTGTCATATAGTCCCAGAAACAGACTTCTCAAGGAAGCAAAGATGATAAATCAGACAAACAAATCAGATAAACCTGATTTAACAGGACTTTGCACGGTAGAGAATCCTGAAAAAACTGCTAGAATGAGGAGACTGAAAAGTAAAGTTAGCTTTTACTTCTGCTGTCTTCCAGCCAGCAGCTCTGAATCAATTTAGTAGCAAAAGCTAAGACAATAAAAGCATATATAATGCTACTTGAGGTATGCTCTGCTGATATATTTACCTTTAGAAGACATCTAACAGTGCTATTAAGGTGATACTTCTTGTGTTTAAGCGCTTCATTGTTTCTGTTTCCTTAACATATACACAAAGAAGGAAAGCACTAAAGAAGCACGACAGTGCCATGGCCTGATGCTGCATGCTCTGCACAGAGCGAGAGCAATTCATGGTGGGATGGAAAGACTTAGGCTGCCCTTCCAACCTCTTTGCTCTGCTGGCTCTAGTGCCATGCTCACAGGCAGTTCCACTGGGGAGCATCTGCACCTGCAGAACAGCTCTGGGCTCTGACCTCCTGGGAGCGATGCTGCCCTCAGCCCTGCTGACCTCCTGCCCTCAGCTCACATCTCGCGCTGTTTGTTTTGGCACAACTGCTTCCCTCCCCCGAGGCCACATGGAAAATGAGATCAAGGAACTGATGCAAGTTAAAAATAAACAGGGATAAAAAACAAACATTTACTGTGCGGTTAAGAAACAGTTGTTGCAGAGCGATGGGCAGACGGGGGCAGGCAGGCAGAGCAGCTGAAGCTGTTGGAGAAATGAATGGCATGTGGCATCGGCCCAGCGCTGGCGGCTCACATTGGGTCCTGATCTCTGGACACTCTTCAGAGAGTGGGCTGTGGCACCAAACAGGTGCACACTGTGTTTGCCACTGGCTCTGATTAACTGAGCCTGGAGGTTGTTTTCTTTTGCTCTAGAAGGGGCCAGAAAAAAAAGCCCAAAAAATCATGAGGCAGGCACCCCGCTCCCTGTGCTGTCCCTAACAAGTGCTTACCTCCAATTATTTATTGCTATTTGGTGCTTCTCAAGAGGAGATGCACTTAGCAGACAAGAGATGGAAAGCAGTTCATGATTCTGAGTCTCTGCCTCTACCTCCTTAAGAAAACAGTGGGAATAAAACAAAACTGAGAGGCATATTTGCGTTTGCAGCAATGTTTGAAATTACGGTCTGTAGCAGAACTTAAGCTTTCAATATTTATTATTTTCTCATTCACAAATTAATATCTAGCACTTCCCTTGAACTGGCTTATCCATTTCAAGACAGAACAGCGAGCCGAGCTGAGAATTGCTGGCCTTAGGGCTCTGCTTTCCGAGCTGCTAACTGCTCCTGCACACCAGAAGCACCTTCAGCTCCCGTGGAAATTAATAGGTTCTGCTACAGACACACATCCTGGGCTGCTTTTGCTTTTTAGTAAGAATTCACAAAATGGCTGTTCCAAGATAACACCAGCTGCAGTTGTTTATACTGGAAAGCTATTGCAACGTTCCAGCAAAACTGGAACCAGGAACTCTTTGCTCCAGAAAAAGAAAATCCACACATGGAACTCATTTGAAAAACATAACCAGAGCAATACTGAGCTTGTGATGCTGGGTATATGTTTATAGTGTACTGGTCACATTAAAGACATGCATCACAAGGCGATGTTTCTGACCCACTTTCCTAAGTCTTGCCTCTCTGAAATCTTGCACAAAACATGTTAACTAGTTCTGCCAGAAGTGGCAATCCTAACCACCTACATCAGCTGGTCAAGGTATTGTCATCTGGAGGTTACAGCCTGGCCAGCACCATGAAACGTGCTGTTGAGGGAGTGGGAGGACACCAATTCCTTAATGGATTTTATAAATTCAAGCAGCAGTTCCCCATTTAGCCACAATTTGGTTCTACGTACTTTTACAAAAGCCCTACTAGTGCACGCGGTTGCTGGGAAATGAGACTGCTAAGAGTGACCTGATGATTTATTTACATCAAAATAATAAAATGTGATGTTATACAATTAATTTTTCAGCAGCAGCCATGAAGCAAAAGGAAAACCAGCCTCAGAGTTATTGGAATGACTCTCATTCTTAGCACCCTCTCTCCCTTATTCATCGCTCCAGGAACATAACCACAGCCTTCTCCAAAACCTTGATCAAATAAATATGCCTTTCACTAGAGTCAGTGCATCTGGACCAAGCAAGGCAGCATACTGCAGAGACTTCCAGTCTCCACAGAGCGCAGGGTGCCAGCAGTGCCTCTCTTTATCTGATCAAGAATAGCCAGCCGAAATGCCTTTGCTAAGCCAAAACTGCAGAGAGGCAGTCCCTCAGGAGTCAAGCCAGGGTTTTTTTCCAGTGACAGATACATTCCATCTTCGTCCATATTACAGGAACGTTCTTAATTGATTTCTTTGTTTACTCTTCCCCTTATTCTGCAAGGAAGAATGAAAGTCTAAACTCTGCTTTCTGTATGACAAGCGTGAAGGCATTCTTTGCAGGGTATTAATCACACAGTGATTATGTGTACTGAGACCACTTAACTCTCTATAAATTACAATTCTATTTCCACAGATTATCCAAAGACTGCTTCCCCCGAAGTCTAGACAAACAATAACACAAGAAATTAGTGAATATTCTTCTCCAGAAAGTGGAATGCACAGTCAAATGAGAGCTCACACTATGGGTGCAAAAAGTAATAAACCCAGTGGAAAAATCAGGATATACATAGTTGTAGGCTATATTTTTTCTAGCAGCAAAGTTGATTTATGAGTTCCCTTCTTGTTATCTTTGCACCTATGAAATTCACTGTCTCTGCAGTTGCGCCGATGAGACTGTGGGCTGTGTTATGAAATGGACCAGTGAGACAGACAGTGAAATTTCCCAGTTGCCTTTGGCTAACGGTGAAAAACATGACAAATTAGCACAGTCCCATCATGCAGAGGCTATGGATCCACAGTGTGCATCAGATAACAACCCAGACAAGAAAACTCAGGTGATACCTCCCCTGCAGGCTGTGGGTGCTGATGGTACAACACTGGAAACATGGTGCTAAAGGATGTTCAGCCCATGGGCTATCCATTATTAAAATGGGTTTCTAAGCTGAAATAGCTGGAATCTGGTTTTAAAAGGTGCCCCTCCTTGGTAACGCAGTGCAGCCAAAACAAAATCATCAGCCTCTATTGGGAGACTAAGCTGACTTTTAATTGGGCTGGCGTGGTCTTTGCTCCAACTGTCTCTGCACATAGTGATCTATTTTCAGTTAATATGGATCTTGAGAAGACATATGGCTTGGAAATTAATCCCTTGCCTAGTAATAGGAGTCAAGTATTATCTGCACTTGAAAGTTCAACTGGATTAACATATAATTATAGAAGCTATTCTGGAATAAACACTTCACAAAAGGAGTTCCTTTCCATTCCCATTTTGCTTCATTTCCACTAGCTGCTTGGGGAGGAAACTCCGTGTGGAAATTTGCCCTTCGTTTTGCAATGCTATTTTTATTTTCTGCCCCCTACAATAGTTTGGAGAACGTTTTTATCTTCCCTCAGATTGGATAGCTTTATTAGCTAAAGAGGCAGCATAAACATCAGTAGACCAGCAGGGAATTGATTTCTTTACCAGCAAATCGTCTGGCACCATCAGTGGCTGCTCCAGTAGAAGACTGTGTCAGCACACATCTGGTGGTTTGTCCTTCTAACAAAAATATGTGGCTTGTGGCTCTCCCCAGAGGCCCAAACCACACTGTGCTCAATGATCTCTTTCTGTGACAGTTTCAGGGATAAGCTTCCAGTGTAAAGGGAACTCTAGTTGAAGAGTTGTCTTCTACTGTAGTCATTTCTAGGGTTGGTTTATTGTTGTTTTTTTTCCCCCCCACAAATGTACAACAGGTTTTTGCTCCTCAGATGAAAGCCTGTGTGAGGTCTGTTTCCTGAATGATGTTTGGTGGGTAAATCCTAACAAAGTCCTCCCTATAGAGGCAGTGAGGGAAATGATAACAAGACTGTCCCTTCAGTCAGTAGTGATCTTCATAACTGAATCATACTAAATTTGCAGTACTTTTTGAAGCTATAATCAAAATGTTTTGTAATAACCATTAAGGTAGACACTGCTTTTATCTGCTGACAAGATACAACAGCCTTCAGCTTGGGCAGTAAAAATATCAGTAGTAATCCCAGGCTGTAAATTGATGCTACAGGGATTTTGGTGATTTATGAGTTTCCATGACACTCCTGTGCCCTGTCTGCACAGCTGAGAGACACAGCTTGCATTCGGGTTAAGTTTCCAGCTATCTGAGTTGCAAAAGCAGTTTTCTAAATACTTGGTTTACTTGTTTGTATTTAGTCAATACGGTTCACAACAGCATCGTATAAAGTTCACAGCATTCTTTGCTAAGAGCAAAATTGCATTCATTTCACGGGCTGTGAAATTGTGCTGTGGAGGCTAATGGCAATGAAATGCTGAGGTCAGATCTGCCTTTGCATCCACTCTCCTGTTTCTTGATTTTCAGTCAAAGAAAACTCAGATACTCTGGCTGCCTGGGAGCTGTGATGCCTTTCAGCCAAATGTCCCATTCAGAATCATAGAATCATAGTCATAGAATGGCTTAGGTTGTAAGAGACCTCATAGTCCAGGTTGTAAGAGATCTCATACCCCAGTTCCATTCCCCTGCTGTGGGCAGGGCTGCCCCCCACAACTCAAGCTGCCCAAGGCCCCATCCAACCTGGCCCTGAGTGTCTCCAGGGATGGGGCACCCACCACTTCTCTGGGCAGCTGTGCCAGGGCCTTACTCTATGAGTAAAGATTCCTTCCTAACATCTAACCTAATTCTCCCCCTTTTTAGTTTGAAGACATTCCCCCTCATCCTGTCACTACCAGATGGTGTAACAAGTAATTCCCTCTCCTGCTTCTAAGTTCTCTTCCAGTACTGAAATGACCTGGAGGCCAAGAACGTGGAGCACGGGTTTGATTAGCTATTCTTGTATTGTGCCTTTTGGATTTGCACCTTCCCAGCTGGAACAGCATTTCACTCTATAAATTCAGACTCTCCCTTAATTCTACACTATATTTCCTTGCAGGCACATCTCTGAACGACCTGAAAAATATCACTTAAAGATCACTGCACTTCATTAAAGTAACTTTAAAAAGTGACTTTGTGCTCAATGACACTTCAAGTCCATTATGGTGAATTAAAGCTCTGGATTATTAACTGGATTAGAAAGCCTAACATGACTTAATTTAGTAAGCTAAAGACATTTTAAATTCGTATCTTCCAACGTGTGATCATTTTCTGAACGTTTGCGTATCTAAAAGAGAAATCCAATTGAAAACAACAAAAAGTTGTTTAACCAGAAGTAGATGCCCAATTTTGTTCCATGCTGTGGCCCTTTTTCAACAGTTGTGTTCTTAGGGCAGGAAAAAGGAATATTTCAAGGGAAAAACCAAATATTTATAGCCCCCACTCCAGGGGAAACTAACACAAGGAACAACAAGTGCATAGACTTTTGAAGTGGAACAACTACATAGCTGTCGCACTAGAAGCAAGACAAAGGAAAATAAACCATACTGAAATGGGTGAGAAACAGAAACAATCTGAATAATTATTTTCTGCCTTCACAAGGCCCGGATGCCATTCGCGATCACAGAACAAGACGGCCTGAGCACACTCACTACATCGGATCAACATCTCCTGCAATAGAAGGTAGCAGTGATGCTGGCTACTTGTGGCGGCCAGCCTCCTGCTTCTCGTCCCCACTGCTCCGCCGATGTCAGTATGCCACAGAAATCGGATGGGGAGTGAGAGAGCTCAGCCATTTCACCTGGAGAAATCTCCAGAGCGGAGCGCAGATCAAGGTAAGGAGGACTTCATAGCCAAAAATACCAGAGTGCCAGAAGGCAGAACAAAGCCCAGCTCTGTTTTCTATTTTCGTCCTGGATCCTCACCAGGGCAGAGATCGTTCATAGACTACGCAAGGAACGAGGCAGAGCTCAGCTCTTTGGTTATCAGCCTGCAGAAGCCTCAAGTTATATCTCTGTAAGGTTTTGCTTGAGGGTGTGCAATCTAACACGCCACAAGCCTCTGGTGTTTGTGGTGATCCGTAAAGCCAATTAAAGCTTCCTGGACAAGGAGCACACCTGGTAGAGAGGACCCATCCCGCATGGACGGAGGGGTCAGGGTTAGGTGCCTTTCTCTGCACAGCCCAAAGAGGTGTGCAGCCCTCTAAATAGCTGTTGTGTTGATCATCATCTCCTGCCATTACCCAGCAAACAGTTACGGCTGAAATCAATCTGGAGCAAATCAGAACTTGTGAAAACACAAGTAAGAGTGTAAATGCATTATACACACACACAGCCTAGATGTATCAGCGTATGCGAGTTCTACCTAAACACGAGTTCTGTGGTATTGCTTTTCAGAATTCACTGATGTGCAGTTGAATTTTCTCCTTTCTTAACAAAATAGGGCACTTGAGCACCTTTGCATTGAGCCATGTCTATCAGAATCACAGAATGGACAGAGTTGGAAGGGACCTCAAGGATGATGAATCTCCAACCCCCTGCCACACGCAGGGCCACCAAACTCCACATTTAATACCAGACCAGGGCCCCATCCAACCTGGCCTTGAACACCTCCATGGATGGACGGGCCATCCACAACCTCTCTGGGCAGCTGTTCCAGCACCTCACCACTCTCTCTGTAAAGAACTTCCCCCTGACATCCAACCTCAATCTCCCCTCCCTCAACTTCAAACCATTTTCCCCTTGTTCTGCTGTTATCTCCCCTTTCAAAGAGTTGATTCCCCTCCTGTTTGCAGGCTCCCTTTAGGTACTGCAGGCTGCAATGAGGTCACCCAGCAGCCTTCTTTTCTCCAGGCTGAACAAGCCCAGCTCCCTCAGCCTGTCTTTATAGCAGAGGCGCTCCAGCCCTCTGATCATCTCTATAGCTCTGCTCTGCACCCTCTCCAACAGCTCCCTTTCTTTCTCGTACTGGGGGCCCCAGACCTGTACACAGCACTGCAGATGGGGCCTCACAAGAGCAGAGTAGAGGGGAACGATCACCTCAATTTTAGCTAAAATCCAGTGCTTATGCTTTCGTTTTCCCTTATTTGATAGAAACACTGCTGAGACCCTCTAAGCAAGCACATGCAAGACAACCAGCCTCACCAGAGTAAGGCTTTCAAACAGGTCATACAAAGTGCCTATTCTTAACTCACAATGCTTCTGCCGGAGTTAACACCCCCAAATTTCTGAAAAATGAAAGCACATCACATGCTGAACAATGGCCTTAATGTTGTCACCATAGAGATGACACTTTGCAGCCCTTATTTATATCTCCTTCATTGCACCAAACAAATGCTCTCTCTTCATAGACAAATGCTTTTGGTTTCTTGGGGGTGATTTCTCTAGATGATGTTTAAAATAATGCCTTTGTAAAGACATAAAGGTTATTTTGTAGTACAGGGAACTTTTCAAGATAAATAATACAGTAACATTTCTGACAGAAGAAAGACAACAATCAGCTAGAATAAATGCAAAGGGAATTCTTTAGTTAAAATGATCAACAGACAACACAGATACTCTCTTTGTCTTTGAAAAAAAGAATGAAAGAACCCATTATTTGCATATGGCCAATGAACTTCAAAATACAGAGAAGGAAATATTTTGGCTAAACAAAACCAAAAATATTTTTCTACTGTTGGTAAACCAAAATCACTCATTTTTTACTTGAAAACAACACAAAAAATAACATTTTGAAACACTTTTCACAACACTTTTCCTTTTTTCCCATTGTATCTGTTGGGTTTTTTGGTACAGTTTTGCTCTGCTCTTTCACCTCTAAGAAGAGCTGCCTTCTGTGCCATGCAGCCTTACTGCACTAAGTTCTCACGCTCCTGTTGGGCAATATCTATAGTGAAGCAACTTCCCCCCTCAGCTGCTTATTGTACAAATTCACAGTTCAACTTAAGACCTTATTAGCAGTAAGGAAATCTACACCTCTTGTAGCTGAATGGGAGATGCATCTGCTAGTCACAAACAGGTGTGGAGTTTGGTTTGGTAGGTCTAATTGCAGTCACCTTCCACACCTGCTTCCTGATCAGCCCCAGGCTAGACCCAAAGAGTAACAATCCCCTCAGTTTGTGCTTTGCCTTTTTTTTTCCCTTGACTTTTAATCCAGTTAATTCTTTTTGAATTGTCCTTGCTGCCGTGACAGCTATGCCCACAAACTCAAAACCCCTTAAAACACTGATTTGATACTACCAAAAAAACAGCAACCCACGTCCTTCTGCAGTGATCAACCATCTCCTGAGATAGAGAGCTCTGCAGGGTAACCAAAGGCCAAATCCTTCCCAGGAGACAAATCAACCACTCTGTAACCCTCCATGGCCACAGCAGAAGAGAAGAACCAAAAACACCTTGTATTTGGAGCAAGCAGCTGCTGATTCAGCTGGCTAGATCCTTGCCTTCATCACTGTAAAGGTGCCATCGCTGCAACTGCTGGATTAAATATGCTTAATAGCTTCTAATTTCAGAAGCTGATTAAATCATTGCTCTGGCCTTGTGGTTCACCAACAGCCCTTGATGTAGCTCATGCTTTCCCAAAACAGCTATACTGCTGTATAATCAATGAACATTAAGATGTTATAATTATGACATAAACAAGAGAGTGTGACAAAGCAGACTATGATAACAAAAGAGAATAAATGGCAGGCTTACCCCTATCCTGGGCTCACTCACAAAACACCAGCAGAGCAGATCTCCAGAAGAGATCCTTCTCCACTGGCAGCCAGCTCTTAAATAGGTCTTGGAGTAGCACAGCCAGGCAGCACAGCTGAATTGCCTTCACCTGTGCTCCTCTGGCTGACTCATGGCTCACCTCAGGTGATCAATCAGAGCTTCAGGCCGTGACCCAGCAGTTCCCCAGTCCCCAGGCACTCATGCTTTTGCCCCTCACAGCAATATGAATTCAGCTGGTTTGTGGTACTTGATGCTGTGTTCTGGAGACCACCGTACAACTGGTGCAGATGGGGTGGATATGCCTGGAGGAGTTCTGTTCTTCAAGCTGTCCTAGGCAAGGGTAACCTGGGAGAATCAACCTCCCCAAAGCAGGAATCACCTCCCTTCTGTGCAAACAGTACAGAACAATCAAACCTAATTAAAGTTTTCACAGTAATTTGCTGCTGCTGCTTTTACAAAAGTCTGCACACTGCTTATGTCTTCCAGAGAAGCCCACAGAACTCTGGTTTATCTCCCCTGGCATCTCTGACAAAGAAAGCTGCCACATGCTCCCCTTATCTCTCTATATGCCTCATCAGGGAAGAAAACACCCTGCAAAAAAACGTTACTCATAGTGACTGTGGTGATAGATGTCCCCACTGCTGCAGCCTGAAGCCCCTGAGGCAGGAAGGGAGGTCGTGTCCTCCTCTCAGCCACAAACACGCTGAAAAGCTCCAGTCCATCTCAGCAAATGGGATAAAGCTGTGTGCTGGAGTCTGTGCATCAGTGCCTATACAAATGTCTCTGTGCATCATACAAATCATATAGATCATATAAAGACTGCCTAGAGGGGGGGTGCTGCTGGCAAATGCACCATGCCATGCCACTTCTCTCCCCAAGGCAAGCGTAATGCGTGTGGCTATTTCACTCAGCAAGTGAAGTTTAAAAAATAACTCCTTATTGATGAATCATGACATACTTAGCAGCGATATCTGCTGTCCTATCTGCCTCGTGCCTCATGATTGCAGAGGCGGTTTGTCATGCACTTTTGCTATCGCCCCTTCACTGTTTCTGAGTTATGGCCGCTCGATGCACTTTAAAACAATCCCTCACCTTTCCAACAACTGTTCTGCTTAAATAATAACAACAGACAACTGCAGGGTGACGTTTCTCTAAGTGACATTTTATTACCTCTCTAGATCACTCTTCCCAAAAATTTAAAGGTGTCAAACCGCAGCCAAGCTCACCATCTCTGCAGTCTATGCACAATACAAAAGCAAGAGATGCTTGTTATTTTCCACCATCTCCGGTTCCTTTGTCACAGCTAAATGGACCTGGTCCTACTGGAGAATAATACCTTAAGGTTAACACTGTACATAATTCGATTCTGTTTCCCTTTTACAGAGAGGACAGATCTGGCAGGCTGCTGAAGATCAAGCAACACACCGATACCAAAGTCCATGGTAACCACTTATTAATTATTGAAAATATGTTCTAATTGCTACTGTGTAAGGATGTTCTTCAGGAGCACCTGCAGTAGGCCAGTTATTGGCATACTTGACTTTGAAGATTAACATATCTAACAAATTTACTGCTGGCACCCTGTGCTGCAGAAACCATTGAGAATGCAAAGCTAATATTTTGTCATAAACCAATGAAAGTATTCCTGCATTGAAGTACAATGCATTTCAAGCAGCTAGAAGGGGTCTCAGGGGAATATTTAATCCCCTTTGAAGAGAGAGTCCTGTTTCGCAGAAGCCCATTTAGTTTCTGATGAAATTTCTCCAGTTACTTTCATTAATACATCTTGAAAGAACTCACAGGCTTATAAAGTGATGATCAGAAACAATCATCTTCAGCTGAGAATTTGTTACAGAAACTGTAAAGTGACAGTAGAAAAAGCCCTTATGGGACTTGCAGAGTTATTCCAGCAAAACCATGCATGTGAAAAGAGATTGCATTGTGCTAGCAATACGTAAGACTTCAAGAGGTTCACCACAGCCAAGAGCTTTGACTACTGAGGCATTCATAATGGAGTCCAAGGTTAAAGATGAAGAGGTGAGGAGGACTGAGGGCATATGGAGAAGGAGAGCTCAAGGGGTTTTGCTTCACCTCCTCTCTTTCCCCCAGGAATTTCCCACTGGAAAACAGAGTATTAACGAGTGCGAGGCAATGAACTTCAGTAGAAAACAGGAAATGCTTAAATTCCCTATAGCTGGCCTGGGAATCAGTGGGGGATGACTGAAGTACGTCTTCCCACAGCGGGTTGCCACACATGCCACCTGCTCCCGGGGCTGCCAGAGTCTGTCCTGTCCCTGCTCAGCAAAGTAATGGGCTCTGCTGGCCTCAGGTGCCTGGGCAGCTCCTCTGAGCTGATCCCAGTACCTCTGGTGGCAGCAGCACTACTGGGAACAGACGAGCCAGCTGGTCTTCGATAGCTATCATCACTCCCTACACTGCAGCATGGCTACGCTTCCCACTGCACCAGGATTACAAAACCTCCAGGAACTGGCTGCTTATTTTGGCTATTACAGCAGTGTGTTGTTGAGACTCTCGTAGGCTGGTGACAAGCTGCAGCATCAAAAAGGCTACCACAAAATCTTGGATCCCATCGCTGGGCAACAGCCAGCAGCAGTCAGACAGCGCTGCAGCTTTTGCCGTAAGGCACTCATAAAGCACGTGTCTTATTAAGCACTTTGAAAGCAATCCTGGTTTAAATTGATTGTTGATCAAAGAAGCAGCAGTTTGCTGCTGGGGAATGCTCTATTTGCTTTTCATCACAGGAAGGTGAATAAGTAAACAGACACCCAAGTTGGAACCAAATAAATTAAATGCATTCAATTAGCTAATGGAATGGATCACAAAGGGGGGCTCTTTTGGAAAATTCAATTAGCTTTTCCTGATGTGCTGGGATTCTCATTAACACTATTATTTTATTTTATCTTAATATTCTCTGTAATATACAGGGGAATGACTTTCAACAGAGCCTTTCTCCTGCCCTTCCCATACCTTTCAGACCCAATTCTCTTCAATCTTATAATCAGTACTAATATGTGAAAAACATTTTTAAGCTAAATAACTGGCAAAGTTCATGAGTACAAGGAACATATTTCAGATTTTTCTAATGGAACAGGGTGTTCTCAGAGATCAGTTTCAGGAGTTGTTGCATGATTTAGTACCATTGCTTAGAGAAAGGCTTGACTCAGGCATGCTCACCAGTGCCTTTTTATGGAAGAATAACTGAAAAAGAAAGCTGGAAGATGTATTTTTCCTGTGCAGAGCTGCCTCGTGGTGTTGTTCTGGATGAGCTCCTTCTGCTTGCATTAGGTAAATTAAGGGGAACGTGGCATTTCTTGAGGTTACATACAGAGTTGCCAGGCGCACCTCCTTCATGGTGCCACAGTGGTGCTCTGTGTGGGGCTGCAGCCTTCCCATCCCCTTGCACTGTCCTCACCACAGCTCCGTAGAACCTCAGGTCAGGAAATGCAGTGCGTGATCAGAAATGGCTGTAAAACCCCACCTGGTCCTTCCTGAAGAGACAAAAGAAGAAGGGCCAAAATTTCCTGTGAGTACAGTTCTATTCAGCACATGTGTTTTCAGAAGGAGCTCCTTCCTCTTTGCAAGTGTGCCTGAGCTCACACCAAGCACGTGGTGACAGGTCTCAAATGCCCCCTGGTTGAGCTGAGGAGATACCGGAGGAAGGATGGAGAAGATCTCATCTGCCCCATGGAAAACCCAAAGCCTGCATTAAAGATGGCTCAACAGCAGGAAGCAGATATCCTGGGCAGGGTTGAGAAAGAGCAAGCTGGGGACAAAAAGACACTTGGGCAGAAAGCATTTCTTTCCCAGGCAAGCAAAATAGCCAGGTACAGATGGAGCTCCAATATCTTGATGGTCACGTGCTTAAACTCAAGTGCTCTGCTGGATGAGATCTGGCATGCCCTTATGTAAGGGAATTATTTTTATCTAGCCTGATAGAGGCTTGAATATTTTGAGAACTCATAGATCTCATTGCTATGGAAACTAACTCTGTATCTTGAGGTCAATCTTGCTATCTCCAACTTGCAGAGTCTGCATCAAATCTTATTTAAAAAAAAAAAAAAGAAAGAAAGAAAGAGAGAGAGAGAGAGAGAGAGAAAAAGAACAAGTCTGGCCTGGCTGTATGTGCAGTTTCAGCCCCACTCCTCGCTGCCCTTGTCTCACTTCTGTAGCCAAAGGCAGCCTTTACAGGGCAGAGAGGTTACAATACTGGCAGTTCAGTGCCAACTGGAAGTTTGGGAACTGATGCTGTTAGCACAGACAATCAGTGCAGAAGATCAAGCATGCAAACTGGGCTCACCCAGGGACAAGCATCCCCATGGGGAAGGCTTGCCTCATACAGATGGGCACTCCTTTGTTGAGTGACCAAGCTGGAATGCTCACTGATGCTCCAAAATACCAAACAACCCTTTCCCAACCCATAGATTTACAGCAGGAGCATTTGCTTGTCTTTTTTTTATGGTGAAAACTGCATGAATGAATGGAATTGCTGCCATGGGACCGATTCAGCTGGTGCCATCTCAGAGAAACAGATTGGCTCCATCTTGTGTCAGGACATCTGCCACATTGCAAAATTTGGGCTTTTCCCTCTCCCATCCGACTTTTCTCCTGCACCACTTCAGTTCCTCTCTTTTTACAGTTTACCAGACTTAGAATTGTTTCAACTGTAAAGTTCTACTTTAAAAAAAAAAAAAAAATAGATTCAGGTTTAGGCAAAAATAGTAAATTTCAGTTTATATAATCCCTGAGGTGTTTTTTTCCCCTCTTTCTGCCAAAAAAAAAAAAGAAAGCAGTGCTTGTCAGTAAAAATGAGATGCTTTCTTCCTAAATGCTAATGCTCACTTGCTACATTTGTTTCTATGTTAATGCACTCGTTACACTTCAGCACTTGATAAACGTGCTTTATCCAGGTGGCCTCAGCATCTGCAGCTAGAGGAGGAGCTCTGTTCACCTTCTTTGCTATTTTTAGGTTTGTGTAATGTTGACTTTCACCCTCTGCAGAACAAGGCTAATTAATCTCCTACCTGTGCTCAAAGTTGCTTTTTTGTTGGTTTTTTTTTGGTCTTTTGATTTTCTGAAAATTCATATTCCTACTGAACAGTTGCAGAACGTTTTTCTGCATTTTCCCCTCAGCGTGGGTAAAACCAATATCTCACTCTGCTCCCTTTTTATCCAAATCAAGCATCAGACAGGCAAGCACTCCGACTTCTGGAGAATCAGGGTCACGCGATGGTGGAAAATTAGAAGGAAGCATTTTTTGAAGGTTGAAGGGAATTCAGCTTTAACAGGAAAGGAAAATCCCACAAGTTTAATTCTTGTAATGGATGGCAGTGACACGCGCTCTGCTTTCTGGGATGAGTATCATTCCATAAAGGAATGCAACACGAACCAGTAGTTAAGCTAGGACAGATGTTGCTGGAAATATCTGAAAGATGTTTACTTTATATTATTAGTGATCAAATACGCAGCGTTCTTGGGTAAGTCATCCTCATGACTTCCCACAAGACATAATATTTTCCTTGTTGGAAAAAGCAAATAACTAAATTGTAGGCAGCTTTTAGTAACCCAGACATTTTGGCCTGGTGGCGTAGCTGCTGAGGTATCCACCAGCATCCCCAGCCCAACTGCTGCCCCAGCCTTGCTCCCCTTTTTCCCTCTGCACATCAGAACGATTCCCTCATTTCCAGCCCAGCACTGCTACTTTTCCCAATACCTTCACAAAGAGGAACGGCCACCCTGGAGCAAATTGTGCCTTCCTCCTGCAGATGCCCCTCAAAAATAACCTACTTCCACTTGCCACTTGCTCAGTGAGTCACTCTGAGCTTGATTAAGATGCAAAAAAATATATTTTTTCTTCTGATCAGGGTGTGCAATTGGCACATATGGGATTTCCCCTCACACAGATTACAAAGCTTTCAGCTACTACAGTAGAACTACTGCAGTCTTCCCCAAGGACACACTTGTAGATAGCAAACAATAAAATAAAAATAAAATAAAATCACTGCAGTTAATACATTCCTATAAAGTTAAAGCTGATTTAAGGCTGCCAACACTGAGTTGCATTAGTATAATCCCCTTTAACTAATCAGGTGTGAGCTGTATGTGGTACGAACCCAAGCCCTCTATTATAGGGGGAAAAAAAAAGACTCAGCAGCAAAGAGAGGGAGGTGTGAACCCTTCCTTCTCTTCACCCCTCTCTCCTTGCTGGGCCTGCCACCCTTTCATGATGGAGGCCGAGCAGTTTTTCAGCTCCCACAAACCCTGCTCTTTTTTGGTCCCCGACCTGTTGCTCACATCACTGGAGCTGCTGGGTTGGTGTGGCAGCTATTTATAACTGACCAAGTGGCATTTTCTGATTCCGTCACCCCACTGGTGATGGAAATGGATCAGAAGAAGCAAGCAGGCTGGGCTGTGGCTGTCATGC